ATCGACGGTGGTGTCTTGTCCATGTTCAAGGAACCTGAAGCCTGAAGGGGTTCGAGAGTGAGAGAGAGGATAGCGCTCGAGTTCAGATGGGGTAGTTTATGAGCGGTGACGATTCATATATGACGTTTCCCCACCTCTCGTTTACTTTTTTTGCAAGTGATGATTAAAATGTTGTCTGAAATGAGAAGTTGCTTTCTGCTTCGTCACCTAGATTTTTCTTTCGTTGTACAAATTTTCCGTGGATTTTAATAATTATATAAGAAATAAAATGGAATAAATGTTGATGACAAATAATTTGGTATCTTTGTCTAAACTATTTCCCTCCTACAATCTAATTCTAAATTACTTATAAATGTAGATATTTAAATTATATAAATAAAAACTCTGATATCATGTTGAACAGAAATAAATCTATAATGAAAAATTACAGCTATGCTAATAATATATGCTTAAATACTAAATTTTAATGAAATACCTTTTACTAAAGAAAAGAAAATTGTGATTAATAAGAAATAGTGTGTCTTTTGGCAAAGGATTAAGTGAGGGATTAATGAGACTTAATCTCTTCTTAACCTGCCAAACACAAAAAATCTACACAATGGTTAAATGTGAGCTAATCCTCTATAATTTGTCAAACACATAAAATGCAGAAGTGTTTAAGCTAATCCTTCTAGAAGGATTAAAATGAGTTAACTCATCAATATAATGGGTTTATAAATACTCCTATTTAGATGGATTTAGAGTTAACCCCTCTAATTATAAAGAAAATTGTCAAAATCCTTTTTATACCCAAACATTAAAAATGATCATAAGGGCTAAAATAAGACTTATATAAAGTATTGATAATTTAGTCATTCGGTAATCGAATGGGCTAACTATGTTTGTCATTCTTCTTAGTCCAACTTCCTTAACCATTTGCCAAACGAGGCCAATTGTTTTCCTTGTTTCAATCTTTTTTTTGTATGAATTAATTTTTTTTATCAACTTACTTTTTGCTTCCATAGGTAAAGGAAATATGCATAATTTAATATAACTTTTTGGATATAAGGGCCTGTTTGGTTCAATAGAGGTTAGGAATAGGATTAGGAATCCTATTTTATTTATGGATTCCAACCTTAGGATTAGGAATCCTATTTTATTTATGGATTCCAACCTAATCCATAAAAAATTTATAGACAAGTTTTAATTTTATGGAATCCTATTTTTGTTGCATTTATTCCAACCTAATCCATAAAAAATTTATAGACAAGTTTTAATTTTATGGAATCCTATTTTTGTTGCATTTTATGTTTGTTTCACACAAAGAAAAAAAGAATCTCACTTTTATAGAAACCCTCCAATTCCTAATACCATGTTTGGTTCAAAATAAAATTTTTTTAGGGATCATCACTGTAGTAACGGCTAGCTCACTGATCAACACAAAATCATTGTAGCAACGCCTAGTTCCCCCAACTTCAGAATTCAAAGGAAAAACACTATATTATAAGGATGAATTGCCTCGCCTAGCAAGGAGCTACACAAGCTCCAAACAAAGCAGCAACAAACCCAGGAGCAAGGAGCTACACTAGCTCCAAAATGTCAGCCACAAATCAATGTCAATGAGTTACACATACTCAAAACAAAACAACAACCAACCTGAAAAGCTTGAGGAGCTACATGTTGGGAATTTAACGCATAAATCCCCTAATGCAACGGAAACGCGGTATAGAGAACAGTACACCAAGATTTACGAGGTTCGGCAACTGCCTACGTCCTCGGGAGCCACACAGTAAATTTCTTATTAATCCAATAAGAAATTACAATTTTAGGAGCAGATCCCTAAACTGGGATTTCTCAAATAAACACTGTAGCTACAGTGTTAATAATTCTCACTTGAGAATAAATACCCCACAATATAAACCCCACTTTAATTCCTCTTCTCTCTCTTAATCTCTCTTTTAATCTCCCCTCAAAACACCCCTTTGAGAGCTGGAGAAAAATCGAAATTGCTACTGCGATTTGGGGAAAACGCTGCTGCGTTTTAGGGCAGTTCACCGCCGCCGCCAGAGAGAAAGAATCGGAGGGGAGGGGGAAGAATCAGCATCTTCGAAACCCTAGGTGAGGGGGTTTATATAAGCGGAGATGAGGAGCTGGCGACAGCCTGTCGCCAGCAAATAACCCAGACGCAAAGGTCGGGTTCGCCAAAGAACGCAGAGTTCAGGGGGCAGGCGAACGCAGAGCTCGCCATCGACGCAGAGCTCGCCATCGACGCAGAGCTCGCCATCGACGCAGAGCTCGCCATCGACGCAGAGCTCGCCATCGACGCAGAGCTCGCCATCGACGCAGAGCTCGCCATCGACGCAGAGCTCGCCATCGACGCAGAGCTCGCCATCGACGCAGAGCTCGCCATCGACGCAGAGCTCGCCATCGACGCAGAGCTCGCCATCGACGCTATCCACCCCCAACCTATCAATCTCCCACTTGGAGACCAAACCGACGACAACAGGCTACCTCATCAAGCTCCTCTCCTGTGTGGCTCCGCCCTCATCATCTATGCATGAAGGCCAACTGAAGTTGCACGCAACTCCAGTTTCTGAAAGGTCGCTACCTTTGTCAACATATCCGCTGGATCCTTTCTTCCTTGGATATTCTGTTGAAATCCTCTAACAACTTGTCGGGCTCTGTATCTTCTAGAACCACCATGTTCCTTCTTCACTCAATACACCCACTTGTTGTGACGTGCCTTCCTCCCCATGGGCAACTCAGCTAGTCCCCATGTCTGGTTGGAGATCAGAGATTTCTTCTCTTCTTTCGCAGCAAACTCCCACTTGCTCGCATCTCCACTCTGACAAGCTTCATCAAAGCTTTCAGACTCTCCTCCATTTGTCAGCAACATATAATTCATGTATCTGCTGTTAGGCACAGGAGGACGAGTACTTCTCCTTAACATCGGAGCTGGTGCGTCGGGCTTCTGCGCACCATTCTGTCCAACAGTCTCTTCTGGCTGAGGATCTTCTGCATTGGGTTCTTCCGAGAGGTTATCCGGAACATCATCTGCATCTACAAATGTTGACTCGCTCTCTGAGTCACCGTCATCTGTCTTGTGCAAGTCCTTGTACATCACCTTCTCGTTGAATGTCACATCTCTGCACCTGATCACCTTCTTGTTTTCGTTGTCCCAAATGCGGTAGCCGAACTCGTCTTCACCATACCCGATGAATGTGCATTTCTTGGACTTGGGATCAGGCTCATTCCTGCCTTGATCACTTATATGCACATAAGCTACACAACCGAAAACTTTGAGATGTGAGAGGGTTACCTCCTTTCCGCACCATACCTCTTCTGGTATTCTGTGCTCCAATGGAACCGATGGACCTCGGTTGATCAAGTAAGCTGCTGTGTTGACTGCTTCTGCCCAGAACTGCTTCGGTAGACCTGACTGCATCCGAATGCTTCTGGCTCTCTCTGTCAACGTTCTATTCATGCGCTCAGCCACACCATTGTGCTGAGGCGTGCCGGGCACGGTCCTCTCCATTCTGATACCGTGCTCATAGCAGAACTTCTTGAATCTGGTGTCTTCATACTCACCACCATTGTCTGTTCTGAGTTTCTTTACCCTCAAACCGGTCTCATTCTCGACCATGGCTTTCCATCTTCTGAAAGCCTCAAACACTTCTGACTTTTTCTTCAGAAAGTAGACCCATACTTTCCGAGAGTGATCATCAATAAAAGTCACGAAGTAGTGTTTCCCACCAATCGACGCGGTGGTTGTTGGTCCCCAAACATCCGAGTGAACAAGCTCTAGCTTCTGCTTCCTGGGGGGTCTGCTACTTGCCTGAAAGCTAACTCTCTTCTGCTTTCCAAGTATGCATTCTTCACACACATCAATCTCTACTGATTGTAAACCTGGGAGTTTTCTCTTTGTGTGCATAACCTTCATCCCCTTTTCACTCATATGACCGAGTCTCTGGTGCCACAGCTTTGAAGTCTCATTGCCTGCCGCAACTGAGATCGAACAACGTGCACCTGCTGTCATATACAGGGTACCAGTCTTCCTACCTCTGGCAATCGTCATTGCGCCCTTCGAAATCCTCCAGTCATCTCCATGGAAAGTCATCGTGTAGCCTTCACTAGCCAGCTGGCTTACTGAGATTAAGTTCCTCTTCAGGTCGGGAATATACCTGACATCCTTCAGCTCCCATACTGACCCATTCAGCTTAATCTTCACTACACCTTTGCCAATAATGGCACATGCTTGATCGTCACCAAGATATACATTTCCAAGGTTTCCGGGGATATACTTCTCGAGGAATTCTTTCTGAGAAGTAGCATGGAATGATGCTCCCGAGTCCAACACCCAAGACTCCTCCTTGCTCTCCAAAGAGCATATCAGCGCATCATCTCCTCCTGAGGTGGAGGCAACGTTCACATCTGCATTTGCCTCCCACTCCTCCCGTGCACTCCTGCACTGATTCTTGTAGTGCCCGGTTTTCCCGCACTTCCAACACTCGATAGCCTTCGAACTGTTGGGATTTCTGGATTTGGATCTCCTATCATCTGATCCATTTCCTCTGGTTGAACTTTTACCTCTTGACTCTGTATGCAATACTGAAGAGGTTGTAGCTTCACCCGACTCTCTCCGTCGGATCTCCTCACTGAGAACCAGATCACGAACGTCGTCAAACTTCAACTTATTGCTTCCCGATGAGCTACTCACAGCTGTGACCGTAGCGTTCCAACTCTCTGGTAGGGAAGACAAAAGGATCAACGCTCGAACTTCCTCATCAAACTCAATATCAACTGAACTCAATTGGGTCGTGACTGTATTGAGTTCATTGAGATCCACCCCACCCCCCCAAAAAAAAAGAAAAAGAAAAAAAAAGAAATTCAATAGACTAATTTTCAGATAACCCCCTTAAACTTTTAAAAATGTCACTCAGCCCACCCCACCCCCCCAAAAAAAAAGAAAAAGAAAAAAAAAGAAATTCAATAGACTAATTTTCAGATAACCCCCTTAAACTTTTAAAAATGTCACTCAGCCCCCGTTAAGTTTGAGGTGTCTCAGAAAAAACCCCCAAACGTTTTCAACTTTTTAAACTGACCCTATAACGATGTTAGGTAAAATGGTAAGATAACCAAAATACCCATTTTTAAGTTAACACTGTAATTATTAATTTAATTAATCCCGGTATTTTGGTTAAACGTGACCAAGGGTTTGTGACAATTATCTTTAAAATTATTAAAAATGACAGTCCAGGTGGTAGTTAGGGGGGTTAGCCGACAAAAACATAAAGTTTAGGGGTTTTCTCTGAAGAACAGCCTTTTTTGTAAAATTACCAATAATCTTATGTGCAAACTGCAAGCCTACAAATGTTACCTTATGGCAGTAGCCACAAAAGAGAGGTAGTTCTTAAGGAACTCTGCTTTTTTGGGCATGTTTGGTTCAATAGAGGTTAGGAATAGGATTAGGAATCCTATTTTATTTATGGATTCCAACCTAATCCATAAAAAATTTATAGACAAGTTTTAATTTTATGGAATCCTATTTTTGTTGCATTCTATGTTTGTTTCACACAAAGAAAAAAGGAATCTCACTTTTATAGAAACCCTCCAATTCCTAATACCATGTTTGGTTCAGAATGAATTTTTTTTAGGGATCATCACTGTAGCAATGGCTAGCTCACTGATCAACACAAAATCACTGTAGCAACGACTAGTTCCCCCAACTTCAGAATTCAAAGGAAAAACACTATATTATAATGATGAATTGCCTCGCCTAGCAAGGAGCTACACAAGCTCCAAACAACACAGCAACAAACACAAGAGCAAGGACCTACACCAGCTCCAAAATGCCAGCTCAAAAATCCAAACTCAAGGAGCTACACAAGCTCAAAACAAAACAGCATATAACCCAAATCCAAGGAGCTACACAAGCTCCAAATAACAACCACAAATCCAAAGGCTAGGAGCTACACAAGCTCCAAACAAAACAAAAACAAACCCAGGAGCAAGGAGCTACACTAGCTCCAAAATGTCAGCCACAAATCAAAGTCAATGAGTTACACATGCTCAAAACAAAACAACAACCAACCTGAAGAGCTTGAGGAGCTACACACGCTCCAAATAACAGTCACAAACCCAAAGGCAAGGAGCTACACAAGCTCCAAACCAAACAACAACAAACCCAAGAGCAAGAAGCTACACCAGCTCCAAAATGTCAGCTCAAAAATCCAACGTCAATGAGCTACAGGTGATCAAAACAAACTCCGAAGAGATTGAGGAGCTACACAAGCTCCAAATAACAGTCACAAACCCAAACTCAAGGAGCTACACAAGCTCCAAACCAAACAGCAACAAACCAATGCGAATGAGGAGCTACACAAGCTCCAAATAACAGCCACAAGCACAAGAGCAAGGAGCTACACAAGCTCCAAACCAAACAGCAACAAAGAGCAATGAGCTACACAAGCTCCAAACCAATGCCTAATATATATTGTAAGCATAGCCATATTAATATTAAAGAAATATGAAACAATATATGATATGCATGCATTTACCAAGGAATATATGAAACGACGATATTTCTCAAACAACATTAAAAAAAAGCAAGCATTAAAAAAACAAATTCACCCTTGGTCTTGCTCGAATTTAAGAATTGGAGAGAATGATGGAGTTGGGGTTCTAACAGTCTCCCTTTCAACTGTTAATTTTCCTTCTTTGGTGGTAAGCTTGAAGAGCTCATCTTCAGCAGCATCAACACAAACTCCATTGATGTCGTAGATCTCGCCCTTGGGAGAGAGAGGAAGGAGAGTATGGATCACAGGGTCAGACTTGACGAGGGATACAAATTTAGTGTAGAGAAGCTCGACCTTGTCGACCTCCTCACTGACAAAGAGGGAGAATACATCATCGGCAATAGCCTGCAACAATTCAGCTAGGTTCAAAAATCAAAATATTGACATGAATTTCACAAATCTACAGCATCTATGATTTTACAATCTAGAGTGTGTATAGTCACAAGTTCTAACATGGAACCTCATAGATGTCAAACAAACTTTTTTACTACACATTGTCGTGTCTGAGATCTAAATTGAAGCACACAGAAAAACTCATCAATTTCAACATGGATGAGTGTAATCAAACAACAAGACATGAACAATTTACAACACTGCTAGACAATAAAAATAGGACAAAACGCGACACAGGTTGAAGAATTATTCTTCTAAAGGCGGGAGAGATCTTCATATATTTAATCCAGTACGCTAACAATCAATGACCTTTCTTTCTGTATGTGATAAATTGCATAAGTTATCGACCTCATCCTTTCATAAAAATTGGCATTTCTAAACAATTGCCAAGTTCACAACTTCTGATCACAAAATATAATTAAAATCACATCTTGATCGTTGATCTATGAAACATTAGCAAGGTTGAGCTCTAAATTATCAATTATAAGCACAGAAGTATAAAAAATAAAGGATTGTAAAGCAAAGTTTACGTTTCTTCGACAATCAATTTATGAGAATTTGCAAGGTTAATAATTAAGTAGCGTTCAACGATGATTCACTAAAGACCACATCTCAATAATCTAGGACTACTAACAAGATTAATCTCCAAAATCATGAATTACATCCACTGAAGTATCATAAACAAATGCTAACCTGCGCCTCTTTCGTCGTGGGCAGTGCCCCGCCCTCGAGAAACCGATCAATCGGGATATACGGCCGTCGCAGTCGGCGGAACTTGGCGGCGGAGACGAGCTTCATGGCCTTGGTGATCTTCTGGGGAGCGTACCAGATATAGGGTTTCGAGTACCAGCCTCGACCACGCAAAGAAACCCAAAGGGCGGCCGGAGAAGAGAAGCGAAGAAGAGGCGCGAAGAATAGAGAGCTGAGGCGGAAGAAGAACAGCGGGGAAACCACGGCAGATCTGGCCCAATTCCTCTCAAAAACCAGATCTGGCGAAGAAGATTAAGAATCGGAATAAGAAAGAGAGCGTTGTCAGCTTTTTGGCCCAATTCCTCTCAAACAGATAGGATTTGGGATTCCATAAATATCCACTGCTTTGAGCGCTTTACGGATTAGTAATTCTGTAAATTTTTTTTGAACCAAACTCAAGAATAGGATTCATTTGGAATCCTTTAATTACGAAAATGCCACTGTCAGATTCAAATACCATTCCTATTCCATAAAATGTGTGAAACAAACAGATATTTGGATACAAAAGATCTTGCGTTACACAATTTGTCATGAAACAATCATGTCAATACAATCAGAAGGAAACATTATGGAAAAGAATATATGTTTTCTTTCTTTCCTTTTTTTTTCCTATTTTGCCCTTTCTATCTTTTAGATTAAGCGGTTCGTAAGTGGGAAAGCCCACGTGAAAGAGAAGAGTGAACAGGTGGCGAGAACGAACGTCAGCGGATCAGAAGAACGGCTTTGGGTGCCGTTCTTACTCTGGAAACTAGTGGGCCCCACCGTTTTAACTGAGGCATGGAAGGGGCACCAACAGTCAAGTCTCAAGATGAAGCCACTGTCTTTATTTCTGGGTTTACTTTTTGTAGGTCAGCAGGAGTAGCAGAAACCTCAATTATTGAGCAGAATTATCAAGGCCTGGGTCCATTTAAGCCCATTTTGAGCGTGTAAACTGATTACGTTCTCCCTTCCTTCTTTATGCTTATAAGCCATTTTCTTTCATCCTCACGCTTAGCTTAGTTTGGTAACATATGACTCAAACTCTTACATTAGAAGTCCATGGCTCCTAGCTTTTTGCATGTGCGTAAAGTACCTTGACCTTGCAAATTATTACCAAAAACCATAAACTACGAACTAAGGGTGTAATTAGAAATCTGTTTTTAATACAAAGTTTTGTAAATTGATAACGCACCCCCCAAAAAAAAATAATCATCATCATCATCGATCCTTCAATCTAGTCCGTTGTCTTCAAGTAGATATATGCGTTGATGTCAATCTTTAGTACTGCCAATAGTAAAAATGATGCAACCTTTGTCTCAATGAGTACTCGAAGTAGCATGTCATGTATATTAACTAGAAAAATAAATGAAGAATATACATGAAGATGAAAACGATGATCATGATACTCCAATTAAGTGACGTAGATTTTCTTATATTTTTTTAATAACTCAATTTGGAATTGAATTTAAGACCATTGGAGTCATTAAAACCTCTAAATTGTCCGGATTATCCGCAGTGGGTCACAATTACATGCCTCAAATATAATAAAATAATATAGCAGGATAGTGTTAAAAGGTTTGTTCATCTAAAAAAATTTTAGGCGACTTAGGTTAATAAGTTCTCAAACACTGCACGGAGTTATTAAAATTAGCTCATGGAATACTTAAAAATAAGTGCAAAGAATCTACTAATTTGATAAATATATTTCTGGTTTCTTCATCACTATTTTTGCAGTGGAGATTATTGAAATTCTCCAAAATCATTGAGTATTGAAATTCTCCAAAATCATACTTATTTCTAAAATGAATTTGGATCCTCTTCACCATTAAAAAAATAGTGAAGAGAACGCTACATTAATGATAATCATTAATTTGTTAACATGTGGTTGTAATTCACTCCAATCTAGCATTCATCATTCTCCTAGAATTCACACTAATCTCCTAATTTACACTCAAGTGAAAATCACAACCACCCATTAAACAGTTTAATGGTCATGATATAGTAAAGATATCTCTACTACTTTTTATAGTAGAAACAATCTGAATACAATTTTGAAGGCTTACCCATAAATCTATTAACTTTTTTTTATCAGAATGATCTACATTGGACTTTTCTTTGTAAGTTATCATACGCTGAACAAGTCACATGTTCTGGACAAATTCGTCGTAATATACATCTTTTACACTACCTTCCACGACTCTTCTATTTTCAAGAATAGCTCATCCTTATCCAAGCCGTTAACTTCTGTAACAATTACAGTACTTCATGATATTTTTTCACAGTTATATTTTTATGTAATTTATGGTAATGTCAACAGTTCCCAATCAACACTGTAGCTATACTATAGCAACCTAATTTTTATAGTGTACATCTACCACAATATCACCTATAAATAGCCCCCCAAAGTCTTCGGTGGAAATCATCCTGGAAGCAAGAAAAAGAAAGAAAGAGAGAGAGAGAAATAAAGAGGGAGAAAAGAAAAAAAAATAGTGAGTGGTTGTAATAGAGTATAACAGTGTAGTAGTTTGTAGTAAAGAGAGCAATTGCATTGAAGAGAGTATATATAGTAGGTTGTACTACTAGAGAAATAATTATTAAATATATTTTTAGTATCCACCACCATTCTCAACTCAACAATTGGTATCAGAGCAGGCAGTAAACGACTGGTTCTCTCCTACACTGATCCTATTGGCATTATTGAAGGCCAAAGTTCGTGTTCAATCCGGGATTGTGAAGTTGGTTAGCCAAGGATTAGACTTGCGTGGAGATACTAAAGCATTACCGTGTCACCATGTCAGATATGATAAGTACTACTGCTACACTTAAGAAGCTCAATGGAAATAATTACAACTACTGGGAGACTTGTATGAAGTCATATTTGTAAGGACGAGATCTCCGGGAGGTCAACGGGGGTGCCAAAACTACAACACCTCGGGAAGCTGGAGAAGCACTAAGGAAGTGGAACATCAAAGATGACAAGGCTATGTATATGCTAAAGATAACATTAGAAGAAGACCTTGTAGACTATATGCGAGATGCTAGAACAAAGAAGGAGGCATGGGATATGCTCACCATACTCTTCTTGAAGAAGAACGACGCTCGACTTCAGCTCCTTAAGAATCAACTAATGACCTTGCAATAGAAGGATATGACAATCAGTCAGTATTTTAAGCAAATAAAATCACTATGTCCAGATATTGCTCAACTAGATCTAGATTTTAAACTGTTTGATGCAAAGATGCGAAGAATAATCATCACACTTTAAGACTAGAGTATTATGGGCTCGTTGCTGCTACACACGAATGGTTGACTCAACCAACATTATTAGAGTTGCACAATTTGCTCGCTACACACGAAACAATAGACAAAAAAATGATCGGCGTTTTAATCAAAAGTAAAGTTAAAGCACTCTTCAGCAACAAGGAGAGAGGCAAACCAAGAGGCACGAGGAAAAAAGAGTATGAAAATGTTGGCTCAAGCACGCAATCAGGACGGTCATACACTGGCAGAACACAATAGAGTGAGGAGCAAGGTGATCATCGAGTAAGGTGAACTAATGGTAGTTGCTATAACTGTGGAAAGAAAGGACACTTCACCAGAGATTGTCGCTACAAGAGAAGACCTGCAGAGGGCAATGCTGCAAAATTTTACAAATGTCAAGATGATTAAAAAGAATGGGATGTCCAACCATCCATGTCCATCATTGAAGATGTATCGGTAGATAAAGAAAAGATCGTTGACATGGCACTAACCTCGATTGTGGAGGAATCTGAATCCGCACTTACGGTGGTTTCAGACCAGTAATAAATTAGCTACAGTAAAGATTGCATCGTCGATTCTGGCTGTTCCAATCACATAACGAAAGATAAGGTGAAGCTTGTTAACATGAAGGAGTATAAAGGCGGCTAAGAAGTTATGATAGAGAATTATAATTCAAGATTGCCTATCATGCATATCGGAAAGAGTATTTATGCCGTGCTATAACCCGAATTGGATACAACTACAATATGTATACCATGTTGGTAGAATCAGCAAACACAAATAAATGTCGAAAGAATGAGACGCCTGATCTGTGGCATACTCAGCTTGGCCATGTGAGCTATCACAAGCTCAAGACTATGACGGAAAAGTCAATGTTGAAGAGCCTTCCGCACTTAAAGATTCGAGGATGGACTGTGTGTGGAGATTGTCGGTATAGCAAGGCACATCAATTACTATACTAGGAGTTACCATTCAGAGCAAATGAACCTTTGGAGCTCGTGCACTAAGATGTATTTGGCTGAGTGAAGCAAGAATTGATAAGTGGCATGCGGTACATGATCACTTTCATCGATGATTACTCAATATATGTATGGGTTTATTTCCCAAAGGAAAATTTTGATGCACTCTCCAAATTCAAAAAAAAATCGAGAAGAAGTTGAAGGGGAGCTTAACAAGAAGATTCATTGCTAACGCACAGACAATAGGAGAGAGTACACATCAAAGGAGTTTTATGACTACCTAAAGTAGCACAAGATTCGTCGACAGGTAATGTGCCCAAATACTCCGCAATAAAATAGGGTTACTGAAAGAAAGAATCATCATCTTGCAAAGATATGCCAAAGCATGCTTCATACCAAGAACGTGCTAGGACGTTTTTGGGCTGAGTGTATGAAAATTGCAGCGCACGTGATCAATCGGTTACCACAACTAAAATTGGAGTTCATGTCATGATTTCAGACGTTGTAAAATATCAACCTTGAAAGCACCCTAATGCCACTAAGAAAGAACCCTAGATGGGGGTTAATAGGGTTTATGCTAATCTAATCCGATTTAATACCAATTAAAAACTTTACTAACAAATATATCCTAGCACAAGGGATATGAACAATATATGTGTAAGGATAATAAACCAAGGGCAATATGAACACAAACAAGATAGTGAGAATATAAACAATAAGCAATAGACAAAGACGATATGAACACAAAAATAAGTGTGCCAATGTAATCACAAACAAACAATATGATCACGGAG